TATATATTATCTTAGCTTGACAGTTTTCCACTTTATTTGAAAACTTGATTTTTAATAAATTTTTTTTCATAATTATTAGCTGTTGAGGTTTTACGGTTGTTATGTTAGTTAATGTTTATTATTTAATTAGGAATTAAATGACTGTGAATAATATGTACTAAAATTAAAGTATAATATATAGGTACCTAGGTACCTATAATATATTATGTTAAATATTACATATTTATCAATTATAAATAGTTCTGACTTATATGGTCTTGTGTTAAAACTAGGTACATTGTAATTTGTAAGTACCTAAAAACTTATACCTAACACTATTCATAAGAAGTAGTTGGTGTAAAATTGTGGAAATAACTCAATCAATAAATTACAAAAAAAATGGAAAAATCAATTAATGTAGGAAAACGTTTATACCCTTAACACTTAAACTTGAAGTAAAAATACAATTTTTTTTTTATTAATATAAATTAAAATGCACATTTATTGCCTAGATAAATTTATTTGTATTATGCGTTTCCTATATTAACTAGGTATGTTTAATAGTATAATATTAAAATATGTTAATGGTAATACAGTTTAAACTTTAAGTATACTATAACTAATAACTATATAATATCAAAGGGTACCTAACCTAACCTATATTTGATAAGAAAATATATAATGTTCATGAAAATGTACATCATTACTCAATAACCCTGGTTATAATGTAAGGCTATACCTATACTTAGTATTAATTGTTATTATGGTGAATTGGCTACAAACATAATAATATAAAACATTTATAAACAATTATTATTTATTCATATTTTATATTATTTAAAAAAAAAACTATGCTGGCCATATAGTATATCTGTTATTAATTTTCTTTTAATCTGTACTAGAAACCCATCTGTTAAATTTATTTATTGATTATTAATGTTTATATTTCAATTTTGTTTAAAATATATTTTGATTATATTATACTTTACAATTTTAATTTTCGTGCAAATAATATTAAATTTTTCCTATTTCCGATTTAATTTGTAATTTATTTAAGTTTTCCAAAGTTCTTTTTAACATTCCTAACTTTCTTTAAGTTTGTGCAATTTAATTGTTCTTTTTATTTTCAAAATAAACCATTTTACAGTGTTAGATACATATAGGTGCACACATCAACAATGAATGCAATTTTAAATGAACAAAAGCTACTATTTATCAGAACACGGATCCAAAATAGTATTGTACGTACCTCCATGTTTCATAGCTATTGGACAACATGGAAAAGTTAATGAGCCCACTTGATATAAGAAATTATTTCAGCTCAGCCAAATTAACCTTGGTAGGTACCTATAAATAGTAAAATCAAGTAAGTAAGACAATTTCTGTATTTTTTAATACATAAACATAATATTATTTTTGTTTGGTATTTATTTGTAGTAGGTAGCATAAGTATAGGTATAGATTTACACTTATTAGATAAATTAGCTAACGCTTAGAGAAAGGGTCGGTAACTGGCGGGGGACCACCGAAGGGAAATAAATAACTAATGGCCGACCCCTGGCTTAGAGAGTGACCCCTAACCAGTGAGAGTGACGAATGATAATTTAACGACCAGAGTTTTTCAGTGATTTGGTTTTATATAAGAACTAATAATTGACTACAAATATATTAAGAATCGTTAGTCTTATTTTAAAATTGAAAAGTGAACAAATTGTAGAAATCGAGCACATTAATTCATGATATACAGTGTATTATTATAATATAATATACATATTATGTACATTATCTGTATTCATAGGAGCAATTTCAACTTTTGACTGGGGGGGGGGGCTGAATATTTTAAAAGCAAGTAGACCATTGCAATATAGCATATTAAAACTGTATGTCCTATGCTTTTTTGGTGGGGGAGGGGCTAAGGCTAAGTTGGGGGGGAGGGCTTAGCACCCCCCCCCCCACCAATTTTCGCCTATGTCTATATTCTGTTTGGAAATATAATGGACCAGCTAAAAAACTTATGCGTTTTCTTCATTGTCAAAGAAATATATTCTCTGTAATGTTTCTTGTTTATACTTAACACGTTCGTCCGATTGCAACTTTTCATCTTCAGTTTAGTTTCGATTTCTTATTGATCATTATTTCGAACAAAAAAGTCACTTTATAATAACAATAAATAATAGTTCAATAATTTATATATTACATTATATATTTTCTTATACGTGATTTTAAAACAGTTTAAATTAATAATTTTAGTTTGGAAATAACTAGTACAGGAAAATGGAAACCGCAGTATTACCTAACCTAACCTACGGCGAATACAACGGATATCACAAATATGCCTTCTGCAGAAGTCTTATACGGTAATCTTTCACACAATAGTCACATTGATCCATTTATGGATTATATTATAATATTATAGTGCAGTGGTGGCAAATTATTATTTACGTATCAACAATTACCTCTATTTTCTAGCGTGCCATTAAATTATGAAAAATATTACATATCATAATTCATAATAATTCATAAAACGGATATCACAAAAAAAAACGGTAATCTTTCACACAATAGTCACATTGTTCCATTTATGGATTATATTATAATATTATAGTGCAGTGGTGGCAAATTATTATTTACGTGTCAAAATTTACCTCTAGTTTCGAGCGTGTCATTAAATTATGAAAAATATTACATGGCATAATATTCAATACTGTAAGAAAAAAATTATCGTAAAATTCGCCATCAAATTTACATTTATTTAATCTTTTCTAAAAGGCGTCAATGATACTCAAAAATTACTAACGTTGTGATGTAATTTATTATTAAAAATAAAAATAATATATATAATATGAATATGAATATTTGGGCACCTTGGGCACGCTTACTTGTCAGTAATATAAAAAAATATTATATGTTGAGATTTAAAATTTTTTTTTGTCAATACCTACTTTTATAAGCTTATTATTATTGTTTGATCTTGTTTATTTCAGTGTAGGTATAAACATTGTACCTATACATTGTTTATGATCATCATAACTAATTAAAGCTATGCTGTTATAATATAATATTAAAGAAAACTGTATTACACGACAGAGGTAATTTAGTATAAATATGTAATGCAGTTTATTGTGCATCTATACATAGCAATTTTACCGAATATTTAACCATTTAAAAATGTAGTTTTGTGTATAAAATATAATATTAATATGTAGCAAACGTACCTGGTAGGCATACAAAATAATTAACTCTAATTTTCACATATTTACCGTATTTCTGATTTCAATCGTAAAATAACAGATACAATATTGACACCCTATAACTTAATTAATCTATAATTTTAGGACCCACGAATTTTTATTTACCCTGGGACTTAGGACGGCCCTAGCTATAATGTATGTTTATCTACACGTAGCTACATAATATTAATTATTATTATTGAGTGTTGGCTACAAACATAATTTAAAACGTTAAAAAACATTTTATTCTTATGTTATATTATAATAAATAACTATGCTGGCCAAATAATATGTCTTTAAACCAACCTATTTTCTCTGTTTATTTATTATTAATAATTATATTGTTTCAGTTTTGTTCAAAAACCTTTTAAACTATATAAGTACATCAGTTATCACTTTCACGAATTTTCTTTATATTTTTCCGATTGCTGTTTTAATTTGTAATTTCTTAGTATTCCAAATTGATTTTAACTTTACTTCTTTTAGTTTGTGAAGGATTAATTGTTCATTTTATTTTCAATATAAAACCATTACATAGTTTTAAATTCAAAGATCTACAAATCAACAATGAAAGCAGCTTTCTGCAATCAAAGGTTTTTTTCATCAGAATACGGATCCGAAATAGTTGTATGTACCTCAATGATTAATACATTTTAAACAATAATATCGAAAAAAATTTGAGTTAGCGTGACAGTAAGAAATTGTTTTGATGTAAGCAGTGTCGATTTCATATAGTAAAAATAATATCTAGATAATATTATTATTATATTAGATTATACCTAACTAAATAAATATATATAGATTATAATATATATATTGATATGAGGATAGAATATTTAAATTTATCTAGACAAATATTGTGTAGAAAATACTTTTTTTATCTAGATTTGTATCTTACATTATAGGATTCTCATAAATAGTTCATATTGTGACCAAAAAATCTAAAAAAAATATAAACCTAGTTGTTTTTTACGGATATTTCAAGTTAAATTTTAGTAATTTTAGTAACTGTTATAATATAAGTTAAAATTTAGACAAAATTACATTTTAAAACCCAGAATTACGATTTTAGTTGTACCTAATTTAAAAATATTATTCGTGGGTATATGAAATTCTTAGGGTACATTATTATATTTTATGCACACAATGACATTTTCCAATGTAATTTTTTTGCAAAAATGAATTTAACCTGTTGTTGTACTAATTCAGTACCTAATGCCTTATACCTAGTAAAATAAATTAGGTCTTAGCTCAGAATCGTTTTTCGTATTGGATACAATAATTTTATATCATACCCCGTCGTATTTACTTATTAAACTAAGAAGATTGTAGAACAAAAATATTATGATGATTCATGCTCGTTTCATTTTTTGACTTGCAATTATTTTGTAACATTTCAAGTGTCTCATCTCCTAAACGGTTTATTCTGGATGTTAATACTTCAAGTGATTACAGCCCAGCTATTTATGTTATTATTAATTTTTACTCATATACCTGTAATATATTGATAGCAAGTACTATGGTAATATTATATTTAATGTAAAATATGACTGAACTATATCAAACTCGGGTTGTTCGACCGGATTACGTAATCTATACATTATTCTTAATCAGTAATATCAAATGTCATTCGATAAGTACAGTACAATAACAACCATTGTTCAAAGGCATATAAATAGGAGTCGGCAGTCATAACAGTTAGTCGATCACTGACAATTTACTTGAACATAAGTCTGAGCAACAGTATTACTATCTTTTACTAAGCAGATATACTAGTAGAGTAAATTAGAAATGTTCACGAACGAATGTCCAGACACAATGAATCCAACGGAAGAGAGCTGCTCTGGCCATGGATCACCGAAGCGAAAGAGCGATCGTCAGATGGGTCCGACAACGAAAAAAATCGAAGATAGTGAAGAAGACGGCGGACTTGGTACAAACGAAACTGCAGATGGAGGTGGAGCTACGGTCGCAAAAACTCATGAACCTGAAAACATACGCATTGACCACGATGAAGAAAGACCTGACGAACGAAGAAATCCTTTTGGATTTCTTAGACATTTAATTTCAGACGGAGACGAATCAGTATCCTCTGACGGCTCTGATGGTGATTATTTTCGTGGTTTGCCCTCAGAGCGTAATCGATGTAGTGATTCACCCGAAGAAATGGATGAGTTCGGAGATACAGAAGATATGGGAGGATACGATGATGTTGTCGGCGACAGAGATGACGACACTTTACAATCAAATCAGGAGAAATATGAAGACCTCATTGTCCAACTTGGACGTGAACTCGCTTCAAAATTTATGTCCGGGATACACAGGTATTTTTTAATTAAATTGTACAACTATTTTTATATTATTATTAATTATTTTAATTTTATAGATATGTCAGTAGCATCATTGTGCCGCTTGGAGTTAGGGGAGTTCAGAGGTGTCTGCGAGAGCTGGACTACCTTATTGACAAGTACCCTCCACAACATTTCTACGTCATTGCCAAGCACGACGACCACATCCACATCAGCCACATATGTGGATACTCGGGAGGGTGTTGTCGGTGCGCCTTCATTATTCGAGGCACATTTTGGCGTGTCGACGGCAGACGTAGACTTCGTAGGATTACTAGAGGGATCGACATGCAGGCAATCGATTACGGAAACGTATTGCGATACTTATCTACGGGCGGCAGAAGCATCCAACGCATTGGAGGTTTCTCAGAAAATGGAAGATTATTTGATCGATATAAATATTTATCGGTTAGTTTTAAAAAATTATATATTAAAATTAAGGTATAATTATTTAAATAGGAAAAAAATTGTATATAATAAAATAGTTGGGTTTAACATGATTAAAAATATTAAATTACGATTAAATAGGGGCGATCCTGATGATCTATTAGATATAATAGAAATAAATAATAGTAGAGAATTACAACAGTTAATAATCGTATTAAATTCCGACGATGTACAAGCTCATTTTATGTTTAAATTTTTATGTTGTATTGAAGATTCACGGGTAAATTGTAGCGAGTACGAATGGAATTTTGAAATTATTAATAATTTTATTATTTCTTATTTTAACGATCATGATTATATTGATGAGGTCAAAGCTCCATTATGTAATTTGTGTAAAATGCATCATTTACCAGAACATACAAACAAAGCAATTATAGATATGAATAATAGATATAAATTACTTCATTACGAACAATGTTCAAATCGCATATTTATAATAATTAATATTTTATTATAGGCGTACCGACATTTGGGACAAACAGAAGGGGGACTATTGGATGGGAGCTACGGCGCGGTGCAGAGGGACATTCCCTGCGAACCATCCAGCAGTGAGCATGTCGTAAAAAGTGGTGAAAATGATGGGGGAGGAGATGTTACTTCAAAAAAATCTGAAGCGCGTAAAAAAAAGTCGTGGGTTCGGCCGGAAAACGGACCAGTAAGCATAACAGAATTATTGTACCAGTACCCATGTTGTCCCCCTGAGGCTTATAAAAATGTAAAAGAATATTATCTAAACGACAATCTTAATTATTTATGCGCTAAAGACAAATATGTAGATAGGGATTTAGAACTTTGGAATATCAAATTAATGCACTGGCGTCTTATCGATTTTGATAATTATTACAAAGACGATAAAGTACATCCTTATTTTAATGCTTACAACAGATTACGTGATCAAGTATATTATAATGTAGATAAATCAGTAGAAATTGCTAATGAGCTATTGTTACATCAGTTCGACAATAACACTGAAAATGTATTTTATTTTTTAACAGATTTGATTAATGTATTAGATAAACGAATACCAATATATAATACACTTGCCATATTAGCTCCACCAAATGCTGGGAAAAATTATTTTTTTGACGCCGTAGCGTCTTTTTTTATTAATTACGGAACATTAGGCACTGCTAATAAAACAAATAATTTTGCTTTTATGGAAGCCGCGGGAAAAAGATTAGTTTTGTGGAACGAACCAAATTATGAAACAAACCACGTAAATGAATTAAAAGCATTATTAGGTGGAGATTCTTGTAAAATATCTGTAAAGTATAAATCTGACCAAGCGTTGCAAGGCCCTCCTATAATAATTCTTACTAATGATAATTTGTCCATTTTCGGTATGTCTGCTTTCCAAACTAGAATTAAGTTATATCATTGGCAGAGCGCCCCTTTTTTGCGCCTCTATGATAAAAAAATAAACCCATTATTTTTATTAAGATTATTTGAAATGTATAACATAAATATTAATCAATAAAATACTTTATTATATATATATATATATTACAAACATGTGTTTATTTATTTATTATTTATAAATTGTTCTAATGATGACGGATCTTGATAATTTCGTCGTTGTAGTGCATCAACAATAGACTCTGCTCTGAATAAAGGTCGGTTAATCGGTTGTGTTGTTTGTTCCGTCATCTCCTGTAATTGTTATGTTGACGTTGACGGAGAAATAAATTTATTATTGAACAAAGATAACTCCTCCCAGAACATGCTCTCCGAAGGGTTATTATCGACGACCATAGCAGTATTTTCAAGTTCAATATGACATTCAGGAATCAGGAAACGTAGTGTATTTGTAAGGTAAACCGTATTCACAGATAAGCTCAGTTTCAATGTCCCATAGACATTCGATATCAGTGAACTTATCTGGTACAAAATTTGCATTAGTGGTGGTTAATTTATTGTGGTACGGGACAAACACCGATATGTAACGATGGTTGAATTTTTACAGAAGTAGACGTAAGTAAACCTTGTTTTATATACTGTCCACATTCTATAGGTTCAATGTATCGGTTGAAATTATGAGAAAATAATTTTATTGTTTCCACTTAGCGTCAGTCAACAATGAATAATTATTAGATACGTCGGCTTTACACGTACCATTAGTGTTATCCATTGTATAACTATTAGGTAATGCAATACTATTAGTATCTGCGAGATTAAAAGATTCTTTGTTCGTGCCGTTAGACTCCGCTCGTCCCGCAAATATTGCTTTCCACGGCATTGATAAATATGATAAAGTAGTTGTATATTCGTAATCAATAATTGTAGTACCTATAACTGCGCTAGCATCCATTTTTGTTACGTGTTCATTAATATTTTGCCATCCAATTTTCCCTTGATTTTGAGCACTGTTTGCATACATAGTATAATAAGCTGGAAATTGCATAAGCAAATTCATAAACGAACATGGTAAAGTTGCACCTGCGGACCAATTCGGTTTCAACCAGTCGTCATTTTTTGTCCCGTACATATTACTTATAGCACTTATTACTTTTTTCATAAATGTAGTATCGATTATTTTACAAGATGTCGGCACCATAGGGTTAGTTGCAGTAGCAAATTCATATACCGTATTAAAACCTCTAGTGCAATTAACTAAACCAGTTGCATGTTGTATAAATTTATTTTGATTTAAAGTTGCCAAATTACTTGTTGACGCGTTGGTCTCAAAAGCCGTTCTAGGATTACGCATAACAACTTTACATTTCACTTTCAACACACGTACTCCACGAATATTACTAACTATATTATTAAACTCTGATGGTGACATATAAAAATAAGGTTTGTCTACTGGTAAGTACATTAGAGATGTTGTTCCCATACGTTCGCTAGCAAAGCTTCCAAGTTGGAGCTGAACACTTGCCAAACCATAACTAATAATTGAGTGTATTTTTCTAAAAAACATTGTATATCCTGTTGATTTATGAAATGGCCGAGGTATGACAACATTTTCAGTACTAGGATTCCCAGTATCTGGTTCATCAGCTGTTTGATTCCCCGTACCAGGAAGTTTCATCTTCTTGGAACCACTGCTACTTCCCTGTGCCTGATCATTTGCTCGTTTAGGTGTTGTCGAAGTAGCAACACTCATCGGTGTTGATTGTGATGAATGAGGTGTCGTATTATTTGGATTTATACCGCCGTCAAAATGCCAATCTAAGTCGCTGTCTGTTTCGTAGTCCCAATTATCAGGTACTCGAAAAATGTCACTTCCCTCCTCCTCTTGAATATCTGGTTGTACAACTATTTCTTCGCCTAAAACAAATGGAGGTAAATTACGACGCACGTGCTATATTATGTTGCCGTATTGCATATAATTTTTGCCCTTTATTTAAATTATTCCAATTTGGTCGTTGTGGAGGAGGGGGACTCAAATAGCGATGAACCATTGTTTACCTGATAAGCTTCCTCGTCGTCTCACAGTGGTCTGAAACGTAAATTTACATGGCAAAAACCCTAAATTTTTAACTTGACTTCTTTCTTGTTTTTAATTACGATATTAAAACATGCATCCCAAAGAACCTTAAAATAAAATTCTGAGTTCCTATATTCAATTTAACGTGACTTACAGCGTTGTCCGTACATTGTTTTTATAGTAAAATCGTTATTTTATCGAAATATTTACTTTTTTTCTTGGATATTTTTCTCGCATTAATAATTTTTGTTTATAACTTTTAATACAATTAATTTGAAGTTTGAATACCTTCAAATAATTAACAAATATAGAAACACATTTTTTAATTTTTTTAGTTTTTTTTTTAAGCACTCAAAAGAAAAGTTTCAATTTTTTTATGTTTTTTTCACTTTGACAGACTTCTTTTAAAAATTACTCATGTTTACCATATATTGAATGCATATAACACGTAAAGAAAGTTCCCAGCTATTCAAAAATATAATTTTGGTTTGCATCTGGTTATGGATATAGTGTACAGAAATTATTTATTTCAAACGAAAACATGGTAACAATATAATAATACTATGCAGCGATTATTAATTTAACGTACTCATTCAAATTTTAAATCTTGTTGTTAATTATTGAAATAACTTTTACTCATATCAAAATTGTACTTGCGTTATTTCGAGAAAACTAACATCGTCCAACTCTCATCTTAAAATCCATCATCGTTTAATCATATACCTAACATCACCCAGGTAAGAAATTATAATAATACATACTCACACAATTTCAACTATAGAATTATCATCAGCAACATATTAATAAAGACACGCAGACTTGGGTGTATCATAAATCAACATAACCTTCGTTTATAAATTCCAAAAAGAAAAATTGGTTTTTTGCTATAATTTATTAGTGCAAGACAATCACTGGATTTACAGATATAAAATAACATATTGTTTTTTTAGGTAAACTAAATAGTTATAATATTTGTTTATTATTCAACGTCCATATAGATACGACCGACCTGTCAAATAGTATCCGTGGTTTAAATGTTTATTTCTTATCAGCCAGCTACTAATTACTATCAGTTAGGTTTATATTATTAAATTTTTTTTACACAGATTCACGCTTTTAATAAATATCGCTATATTTTAACTTCACCTACTTACCTAATTACATTTTACTGAATTTTTATGGATTTGCGTTGTGTTATACTATGTTATTACATAGATATATTATAATATTTTATTATATGTGTTGTACAATAATTATTTATGGTATAAATGTATAATAAGCATATTATTATAAATTATGTTTAAGTTTGTGTGTACATCGGTGATTTGAGTGACTATTTCACCCATTCACAACACTCCTATGCAATCTGCACATCATAATCTATATAAATAAAAATGGTGCGTGAAAAGTGGTCGTTACCTCATCAATCGAGAACGGCTGGTCCGTTTTTTGGCTCAAATTTGGCTCAAATTTTTTTTAGGATGTTCATAATTGCCGGGAGAAGGTTAATAAGAAAGAAAATTTTAGGAAAATCCACAGGAAAAAAAGGAAATCTGGATGTAAAAAGTACAACGGTGGCGCAACAGTTTATTATAATTTATATTGGTTGCTATTGGTTAATCGGGTATGTTTGTTGATTTGTATTATTGTTTTTTGTCAATATATATGTATATATATGAATAAATTAATGTTTGTGTGTAGATTAGAACTCTGCATAGGCGCAACTAGGGGGGTGCTTGGGGGTGCTTCAGCACCCCCAAACTTTAATTTAGCACCCCCAGTTCCAAAACAGCAAAAATTGAAAAATCATATGAAAAAAATAGTTTTTTTTAGCTTAACTTAATGTTTTTTTTTTATTTCTTCGTTTTTAGCAGAAACCCAAATTATTGTTTGTAATGATTATAGGTACCTATATCAAATATTAGAATTTAGAATTCTTCAAATTTTTTGGTAAATTTTCTGTTAGAAATTTATAAAAGTTTTTCCTTTCATAGCTAACATTATAAATGTTAATAGAAGACTCCTCACAATTGGTACTATCTTAAATAATAAAAAAAAAAGTTTACTGGAAAGTAACATACTTTTTTTATGAGCGTTTGAATCTAAAATGTGTACAACATTGAACTTTCAATTTTTATCAGTAAATTAACAAAATTTCATCTACCAATTTTTGATATTATATTGTCCTAGTATAGATACTTGAAATTTTTATCAAATGTTAAAATTAAAATTTTCCTTACATGATAAAATGTTTAAACAATTTTGACTCTTTTTGAGGTATTTATAACTGAGAAATTTTTCAAATATTTTTAATTATTTTTCATTGGCAATTCATAAAATATTTTCTTTTCACAGTTAAGGCCCAAGATTAAAAATGTTAATAAAAGATTTCACATAAGTTTGTCTACCTATAAAAAACCGTATACTTAAACTTGAATTTTTTATGAGTGTTCGAACTTATAATTGTCACGATATTCGATATTCAGCGGTAGGTAAATCGAATTCTCATTAATCGATTTTTTTGGATTTTGTTGTATTTCCAAAATGAATAACCGTAGACTCTTGAAATGTTCACCAAATATTTATATTAGCATTTTCCATACATCGAAAATTCTTTAAACACTTTTGAATTTTTATGAACTATTTATGAGAAAATTTTTGAAATTGAATTCAAATATAACACATCCACTACAACGACATTCTCAACAACTATTGTACAGAAAAGCGGTACCCACTTGACCACATTTTTTTTTATCCATTTATACATCCAGGTTACTATTTTTATCACCTAAATAATATAATATACCTCATGTATTCATCAGGTATATTACTGTTGATTTACTTAAATATTAGTGTCCTTATGTGTTCATGGTGCATTTAGGAATGGTTATAGTAATTATAAAATCAAAGTATGACGTATGTTATTTTGGGGTGTGGGGGCGTTTCCCCCGCGGGTTTGTGTTCTCTACATAATTTTAGCACCCCCAGTGTTTGGCCTCTAGTTGCGCCTATGGAACTCTGGGAAGAAGACAGGCTAATTTAAAAATGGTTAAAGTTGGTATTTTTTTATGCATCATCTAATATTATATAGTATGGTTAGGATTTTGTATTAAGAGGACGCTACACCCGCATGTGTTGTCTCCGTCTTACAAACGCGTAACATAGCAAATTACGTCCACGGAAAACAAACGAATCGGCATCAAAAAGTGGTTTTAGAGTAAAAATACCTATAATAAAACTTAAAGAGAACAATATTTTGGAGGGAACCTCATCGGCGTTTTTAAAAATATTAACTATTAAAAAAGTTGTGGTTATTTAAAAAAAAGGGTTTTTGTGCCTTCAATATCTAGCTGTGTATTTAGATTAATACAAAACCCCGATGAGGTTCCCTCCGAAATATTGTTCTCTTTAAGTTTTATTATAGGTATTTTTACTCTAAAACCACTTTTTGATGCCGATTCGTTTGTTTTCCGTGGACGTAATTTGCTATGTTACGCGTTTGTAAGACGGAGACAACACATGCGGGTGTGGCGTCCTCTTAACTGATTATATTAATCCACCATAGGTGGAATAAGACAAACTTGTTCCAACTTTGATACAATGTAAAATACAATCATTGCAATCTATTTGAAAAATAATATGAAATAAACACATCTTGAGCAATAGGTAGGTACCAATAATACCACATTAATATTTTAATATGTTTTTATGTTAAGCATTTTTTTAACCTGAATACAATCCAATTATCTACCTTATTATTGTCATTGTCCATATCTACCAGAATGAATAAAATTCGAAGCTAATAACAATGCAAATTTTGTTGATTTATTTTTCCAAAATCCAAATTAGTTTGTAGTAAAAATGTATGTATATTCAAAAAATCAATCAAAAGTTGTTCTAATCGTTTTTCAAATATTTCGGATTATGGAAGGAGATAGAAGGATATAGCCATATAGGTCTATAATTTGTACAATGATCAATATCGCCGGATTTAAGAATTTCGTTATTAGTCTTACCTACAACTTCCTCAATATTCGACAGTTTTCTGATATATGATCATCACATCCATCTTAACGTGATCGCTTTCGGTTGTAGATTATTTTGGAGATACTATATAAATCGATGCGAAATTTCAAAAAGAAAAATTGTTAAATATAGTGCACACTGTTTTTTTAGCTAAATTAATAATAAAATGTGTTTATTATTCAGCATCGATATACCGACCTGCTAGTATCCGTGGTTATCTCGTTTGAATGTTTATTTATTTTCAGCCAGCAACAATCAGTTACGTACCTTTTAGTATTTTTATTATTATATTATTTTTACGCAGATTTACGCTTATAACAATTAATATCGCAGTACTCAATTATCTGTGATTCACTTTGACTGAATTTTTATGCATTTGCGCTATATGTTATTACGTGAATATAAAGGTATAATATCATAATGTTTTATTATTTGCGTTGTACAATAGTTTAGGGTATAATAACTAATAAGCATATAAATTATGTTTCAGTTTTTTGTACCTCAGTGTTTGAGTGAATATGTCACCCATTGACAACACTCCTATGTAATCTTCTCATCATAATATAATATGTATATCGAAATTGTAATTAAGTATTTAAAAAATAAACATTAATGAAAAGTACATATTTTATTTATAAATTTGAGGTTTAAAAATCCTATCATTATTATTTGTTTTCTAAATGTATTAGGTAGTGATTTTATTTGTTGAAGTTATGAATTTTCGATAGTATCTATTAATAATTTTTTGTTATTAGGTACCTACCTACCTATGTTTTATACCTTCTACAGTAAATATTGTAACTTAAAAGGTGAAATGATTTATGGATTTGATTGCATATTTAAATATTTGTCAAGTTTAGCTCATCCGACTTCTATAGTTCTATGCCCTAAATCCTAATGATTACCTATATCAGGGATGGGCAACTCAATTCTAATAGAGGGCCAATTCTGAATGTGTATAAATCTAATGCTAATAGAAAGATGTTTTGCGTTAGCAATAATGAAAGTTTAATCAGAAATAACTAAAAGGTAAGTACGTACAGCAGGTTTTTAAGAAATTATCACTTTATTTTCAAATCTCCAATCTAGGAGAAGGTTATCTATATAATATTATATAAAAATGAATTGCTGTTCGATAGTCTCGCTAAAACTTGAGAACGGCTTTTCCGATTTAGCTCAAGATTTTTTTAAGATGTTATATTTATATGAAATCTATGCGGATATAAACGTACACGGTAGAGTCAAGGAGATGGATATTTGAAAGGAGCCGGAGCTAGATGCTGTTATTGCCAAAAGACCTGAAATATAACAATTCAATAGTTTGTTTCTGCGAAAAACTATTAATGCTTTTAATGTTAATGCTTTCGCATTATTTTGGCCCTGCGAAGATTGAGTACATTTATAGTCTTATTCTACGTAAAACTATTAAAAATTTAATAGTTTTGTTTTACATCATTTTGACCATGCGAATATTGAGTGCCTTTATAGGTTTGTTTTTGCATTATTTTGGTAAAGCGAAGATTAGCCACGATAAGCCAAACCCAAGGTATTGAAAAAGATTTATAGTTTTGTTGTTGTCCAGCGTGCTACATCGCGTGAGAGATGTACTTATAATATTGAATATATATAGGAAAGCGACTCCGTCGGTTTACTACAAAGGGATTAAATACTAATACTTTATTTTATATTTATCTTGCCTTCTTTACATTATATTGTGAAAAAATTCAACAGGTACGCTATAATTTGAATTTTAATAAAAATTTACCAATTTTACCGTAAATTTGGTAAATTTACACGGTAAATTACCAAAAAATTTTTTTACGTAAAATCCACATCACTAGTTATAACAATTTATGGAAATTAAATAATGTTTTTTTTTCTTATGTTATAATATAATAATATGTACAGTAAAACTTTCATATTAGTACCTAATTATTACTAAGTCTCATGGCTTCACGGGCATAAAAAAATCTGTATAGAATTTTGTAAAATAAAATACATTTGGTTCTAATTTGGTGGGTATGGTTCCAAAAAAACTAATTCAACAATTTTGTTAATTGAAAATTGAAATAGTTCGTCATATGGAAGTTTCACTGTAACTGTAGGTAGCTATAATAAAAACATGTAATTACAGTGGACATTTATTAAGGACTATCATAAGTATTTTACTAACTACCCATAGGTATCTATCATTCCATGTTGATAAATTGATGTGTCCAATAGTCTATCTTGAGTCATGATAGTGGAGCGTGATCATGATTTTTAATTATTATTTCAGATAATCACAAGATTCGTGGTGCTAGTGGTGCTACCTAGCATTAAAATTCAAGGTGCCAAGCACCCTTAGAACAATTGTCATTTGCGCCAAATGCCAATGATAATAGGTAAGTCGTTCTTATATTAAACATAGGTACTTAGGTTAAATATATTTAATTATAGATAATAGATTATTCAGAACATATACTTTGCTACATTATGCGTTTGTAAGACAGAGAAAATGCATGCAGGGTAGTCTTCTTAAGTTTTTTTTTTTGGTTTTTTCCAACGCAAATATATTGCGAATTTTATAAATTTACCACATCGAAGCAGAGGTGGACTGGGGCGACTGTTCAGCCCGTGAAATCTGTATTTTGTCCAGCCCATTCCATTTCGTCATCACAAAATGTAAAAATGTCTATATTGTACCAAAGTTTTAACAAATGAGGGTTTCATACTAATTTATTTATCACAAAAAATGATTAATAAAAAATTTGTCGTTTCATACACCAACAAATTTTTTTGCTAGGAAAGCAATGCTTTAAGAAATTCAGAAAAAAATACAATTTATATTTAAATCCGCGCCCTAGGTACTCATAAATAATAATTTCTGATGATGCATTGATGCCGAAGGGAGGACAATCAACTGAACCAAAATCTAAAATCTGAAAAACCTAAAATAATCAATTTAATAGGATTCGATACCGTGATTTTCTGTTTTTGTCTAACACACGCGCGACATAGTATTTTAGACGTGTTTTTCGCCAAACATACCAATTGATGCAATGAAGCGATAAGAATTCTGAAAACAGATTTGAATTTTTCATAAAGTCTACTTGAAGTCGACTTTCCCACATTTTTGATATTATATCCCGAATTTATTAAAATGTCATATTCAAAAAGAGTATTTAAAAATTTTGTTATTTCAATTTTTGGAGAAGTTAAAATCAAAAATGTGGGAAAGTCGATTTCAAGTAGACTTGATGACAAATTCAAATCTGTTTTCAGAAATCTTATCGCTTCAATAGATCAATTAGAATGTTTGGCAAAAAACACGTCTAAAATACTATGTCGCGCGTGTGTTAGACAAAAACAGAAAATCGCGGTATCGAATCCCCTTAACAAAAATGAACATTCGAGCGTTATATTACGAAAATACAAAATTTTTATAATTTATATTTATACCGAATTTTATTATAATAACAAATTATTTTGAACAGCAACTTACCAGGAAAGTTCCCGGTAATCCGCCGGCCCTGTCCGCCAATGGTCAGAAGTGTATCAATTAGATTAAATTGAAGCATTATTTAAGGTACATCAGCCTAAATGGAAAAAATTGCATTTGAAAATGTCAATGAAGGGTAAAAAATATAATAATATACTTTAAAATATCAATTGCCCATTCATGAATAATTTTTTTGAAATTACAACATAACTAAAATAGTGACTCTTTATATAATTGTGAAGTATCGCCTGAAATTTGAACTTAGAATATCTATCATAAAAAAAACTGGGTTTTTAGATTTTTTAGGTACAATATAAGTTACCCCAGAGCGGCGGACTCCGGTCGGCTCGCCAAGACGGGCACGCACGTGTATCCAAGGGCGGCGGACTCCGGTCGGCCCGCCAAAACGACGACCATCCCACAAAACTTCTGAAAATGTCAAATTTAATGTTAACTGTTAAATGTCATGTATAGAGGGGGGGTAAGTCGGGGAATTGTCCCGTCTACCCCCCCACGTATGTATGTATAATATTTGTTTCAAATTGTTTCAAATAAACGATGGCGGCGTAGCGGAAGAATGCGAAAGCAGTTCCCGCGACGCCGTCGGTTCAAAACCGCAAAAAAAAAAAAAAAAAAAGGTACAATATAAGTTACTTACAGGAAAGCAGAAACCTTATTTTTAATTTTCAATCCTTAGCTATACAAATTGAACAATTTATACGTTTTTAACAGCATAGTATTTTCAAAATTTGAAGTAAAATGCTTATAAAAAAATTGTGCTCATACATTAATAACATTTTTAAACTGTTACCATTAAAACGTATGAGGAACAAAGAATTAAGTATTTAAGCTTTCTGTCCAAACAGTAACATTATTATTAACATTTATAGAAAATCAACTAAAAAAAAAACACATCTATAAATCTCCTAATAAGAGTCGAAATATTTTGAATATTTTATCGTGTATATAAAATGATGAAATAATCATTTGCTACAAATTTCAAGTACATTTTTAATGTGTACACACTACAAAGTTCCACAAAGAAACTAAAAAATATAATTTAAATAGTAGATTATAAATATAATTTAGGTATAGCTCGTTTTATTATAAATAAAACATTCTTATCAAATAGATATTGAAAATAACAAAAATATTTAAAACAATACACGTGTCATCATAATTTACACAAAAATTTGTTCATATTACTATTAACAATGAGTACTACTGTAAGCTGATTAATGATAATGATGTGGTCTATCGACAACTACTCCACCATACATTTTTAATCCATTTCTTGACAATCTTTCCAAGGTCCAAGTATTGGTGTTAGGGTTGTAAATTTCAAAAGTATCAACAATAGATCCTGTTTCTCCGCCAAAAACATACAATAAACCATCTAATACGGCTACTCCTATAAGATAATGTAATTTAAATTCAATATATTTTTACAAAGGTCGCCCTAAAAAATATAATTGTCATAGTCACTACTCACCAGGGTGATATCGGCATAAATTCATATCAGGTATAGAAGACCAAACTCCATCACTTGGTCTATAAACCTCAACACTTTTAAGATCCACCATTCCATTATAGCCACCAATTGCGTACATAAGTCCATCCAAAACCCCTACACTAACACCATAACGACACTCAGACATTTCTGCAACTGGAGTCCATATGTCAAGTGTGGGATCATAATATTCCACAGATTTAAAACTTTCACCATTTGCAAAACCACCAACCTACACAATTTAATTAAATAAAATGTAAAATAAATAAATAATAATATGGTATATTTATTTACAGCGTATAGACGATTATTGAGTACACCAACACCCAAATCACTTCTTTCAGTAGACATACTAATTACTGTTCTCCATTTTTGAATATTGATATCAAATACCTCTACACTTTTTAATGGATTTTTGAAATCTTCTCCACCAATCTAGAATTACAAATAATATACATTTTTAATATAAAATAAATAAAATATTGATTTAACTTACTGCATATATACAATCATCCAATACACCAACTCCCAAATCCATTCTACTAACTAACATGTCAGCCATTGGAACCCATGATGGTGATTGTGAAGATACGTCAAGCATTCTAACAGATTTAGAACTCGATCCATTTACACCTCCCACAGCAAACACAAATTGATCACGTATTACACCAAAACCAGCATTTATCCGACATTCATTTATTCCTGGTGCATTCTCTCTTAGCTTCGTTGCTGGGTCATACCATTCAGTATAACACTTTGGCGATGTATTAGGCGTACTGAACGTTAGAAGAACCTAATAGAATTAAATCGACTAAATTATTGTGAAGATAAATTAATCAATCAATTTGGATTCATACTTTTTGAAAACCATCAAACTGTCTAGGTTTAAACCTAATTGTTTTTGGAATGGTGAAATGCTGAACTAATTTTTGATGATTAAAATGGAATGCTTCGATTATATAATCTTTACCTAAAAAAATTATAATAATAATTCATAAAATGTATAAATCCATAATGATGGCATATTTATGAAAATAACATACATTTATGACTATTTTTTAGAAGAGGTTCTTCAGATATATTAAATAATATATCAGGCTTTAGTAATGGCAAACGTACGTGTTCCATTAGTTTTGGCAAAAAATCTATTCTATGATCTGAATCATGTTTTACCCATTTGATAACACATTCAAATACCTACAATAAAAAATATTTAAAACTAGATTCAAATATAATAATAGTTTGTTCAACCATTCAATAGTGTATAATTATCACAGGATCCCAAAAATATAATAGATCTTTAAGTTCATGTGTTCCTACTGTTTATATTAAGCGAAGGAATATAAATTAATAATTCTTATATTTTTATGGTATTAAATAATATATATTATTTGTTATTTTTGAATACACATAAATCAAAATATAGACATGCAGTAGAAGGTTTATGTGCAGTGTTTGCGAAATTGTTTGGGCCTACTGACTAATCAATGTGGTACGTGGAGATGAAAGTTATAGAAAATTATTTACAGTCGGAGCCGACCACAAAACTTATTTATCATCAAAGAGATACAATTGATTTGAACTAATTTTAAAAAACGTTTTAACTATTTTAGAGTTATTTAATATTTATAGACATTTAAAATAAGACATGTTTTTGTTTATTTTCAATAACAGTCAATAAAATTATTTTCTATGGTAATCAAGCTTTATTGATTTTAGTTATTTAGTTTAAAAATATTATTTGTAGGAACTTAAAATTTTAAAGTATATTGTTATATTGTATGCACACAATGATCTTTTCATATGCACCTTTTTTGGAAAAATAATTAAAACTGCTCCAGAAATACAGTATTACTAAAATGTCTAATAGTAAAATAAATTAGTTTATCAATTATACCATAAAATATACTTGGTAATATTATTAAACCTTTAGAGCTCAGATTCCTTTTCGTTTACAATGATTTTATATCATTGAATTCAAATATAACACATCTGATACAGTGATCCCTGTAGAGTCTAGACATCAACTGCGCTGTATACTTGCCCACCTTTATATGTTGATTTTCCATACATAATATTAAAAATACAATTTTTAGTTTGCTTACTTTTTCTTCAAATGGAACAGCAAGGTCATTAGAGGAAATAAGCTTCACCAAATCATCAGAAGATAAGGATAGAAAATCTTTGCCTTTAGCTACTTCCCTGGAAATAATAATCATTATTTGTATAATAAATTACCTACTTACTCTTGATATAGAGAATTAAAAAATGTTCATCATACAACAAATTTTGTTTAATATATGCTTCAGAAATTGACAACAAATCAGTACGGTTATGCAAGTCAGCAAATGCATTGATATCAATGCAATTTGATGGATCCAGTTGTTTTTGTAAAAACTCAGCACATACACCAATTACATAATCTAACTGTAACATATTTGCGGCAGGTAACAACACCTAAGAAATCAATAATAATTAACATAAAATAATATGTTGTTTGAAGTCGATATCAAATAAAATATTTTATTATACCTGTACATTTTCTTTTGTGACCATAATTTCCCCAGTATAGATATAATGGTATATTTCTACTTTACTGGACACCCTTTTTTTTGCAATTTTTTTTTTGAAATTAATGTAGTTAAGCACGCTGAAAACGATGGTGAAGTCCAAATTTGGCGCACGGACTTAGTTTTGAAGTTATGGCCTAATGAAGTTCGCTATTTTGCGATTTTCACGCATTCGCGCAATACTAGTTTACCGCGCGCCTACTACGAATATTGATATTTATATATTATAATTGAAGGGGGAAAGTTTTAAGGTATTTTACACATTATAGCAAAATATTAAATTGGCCCACTTGGGGAGGTGTTGCACAGCAAATCGGGGGATATTTTCGTTTTAATTGTCCGAGCGAGCGCAGCGATCGAGTGACCCCGCTCGGTGAATCGGTGCAACAAAAATGCATTTTTTTTAAACCTGTGGCCCACTTGGGGAGGTGTTGCACAGCAAATCGGGGGATATTTTCGTTTTAATTGTCCGAGCGAGCGCAGCGATCGAGTGACCCCGCTCGGTGAATCGGTGCAACAAAAATGCATTTTTTTAAACCTGTGGCCTACTTCGGAAGGCGTTGCATACCAAATCGAGGTTAAGTAGAAAAGTTCCCATATTAGTAATAATATACAATTTAGTAATAATGAGACAGTCGTAAAATAGCCATAATAATATAAAAAAAAGAAATCGGTAAAACAAAAATACCACCCCGCGCGGGAGTACTGTGGCGCGGGTATATACGTAAATTTTAACTCGTTGAAATACATAGATTTCCGAACAATTTGCGAGGCTGCGAAATTAGATTTGTTCCAGTAGTTTTAGTAATTTTCTATTTAGGTACCTATAATTGCATGATTTTTTTCCTTTTTTGTTAATTTTTGCACGACAAATCCATTTGTATTTATCGATTGACGATTGATCTTTAACCAATCTCATCGGATATCCTCGTATACAATTTTGTTCATTTGGCAATATACCAAATTACTGTAATTTGACAATCAAACCTAAGCCATCGTTCAGGCTTGACCATTCCATTAAATCAAACAAATTTATATGTTTCTCCATAGTATAGAATATTTAAAATGAAATTTAACGTTTTCGCGCCAGTAAAGAATAGGCGTGTAACCGGCGCTAACCGCAAGTAAACTGTTTAAGGTGCCTTTACACTGTATCGTGTCGTCCATAATTTAGGACGTCGTCCTAAAATTACAGTGTTTTGATTGGCTGAATATTGTGGTTACCTAATTAATATACCATGTTACCAGGCGTTACCAGAAAGTTGAAAAAAATTCAACTTGTCGTCGTGCGGTAACAGTCGTGGTTCAATCCTCCTGATAATAAATAATTTTGCCCTAGATTTCCTACTTATAAGCAGTAATTACAAGTTTTACGGCACTTATCGAAAAAAAAAAATATTAATATTCGTAATAGGCGCGGTAAAGTATAGTGTTGCGCAAATGCATGGAAATCGCAAAATAGCGAACTTCAAAAGGCTATAACTTCAAAACTAAGTCCGTGCGCCAAATTTGGACTTCACCATCGTTTTCAGCGTGCTTAACTACATAAGTTTAAAAAAAAAAAATTGCAAAAAAAAGGGTGTCCGGTAAAGTAGAAAAGTTCCACCAAATGTTACCTATCTAATTTGTTTTCAATAAGCTTTTCGTCAATGGTCAACGATTTTGACAGGCCCGCGGTGTTGGTAATAACATCGGTAAATACGTAAAATGCAAGGCAAAACTAAACGGTGGAATCAATTCTATATTTATTTGCCGTCGACCAGTGGAAGTAAGTACACGTTACTTTATTATATTTTTCACTTTTTTTTTTGTTTTGTTTTTTTGTTTTTTTTTGACAACTTTATTAATGTTAATTTTTCGTTGTAGAATGTTTCAATTTAGAAATTGTACGGTGACGGTGGCTGCAAGCTTCTTCTGCAAATTGTAGCACCTAAAAGTATGTATAAATATTGTCAATTGTCATTACGTACCTATATACAATGATAAACATAGTAATGTTGTCCGCTTTTCTTTTTCAGAGTGCTACAATTGCAGAAAAACTGGCCACCTGGCCCGCCATTGTAAGTGTATTTTGTGTATATTATATATGTGATCGTAAGCAATGCATCTAAAATATTATTTATTATGCAGGCAGGAGACCAAAAGTGCAGAGGGACCCGTCCCCTCGCCGGCGGCGAGACCGGTCCACCCCCCAGACAGAGACACGGGGCAGCACATGCGGTTGGGGACACGGCCCCACTTCGGATGCGGGACTCGGCCCCCCCGGTGTTGGGGAACGGTGAGAGCCAGGGGCAGGCCCCGCGCCAGCAGTCGGGCCATGTCCGAGGCCCGAGTGCTGTGTCGTCGGTGGCCAAAGATCTGGCCACGATGAACGTGGAAGTGACTAATATTAAAAATATTTATATATATATATAATATGTAGGTAATATACATGTTAGTTATAAATGTTGTTAAATACATTGTTTATAGGATGATGGCTTTGCAGAATGTGGTAAGCTATAAAAAGTTCCTGTGTACTAATTTTTGAGTTCTTTTTATTTTCTAATTCTAATTTGTTTTTGTATATATTTTCTGAATGAATAATATATAATTATTAGATATATAGAAATATATAATAATGACAATTATTTATAAGTGTTTTTTTTATACATAACCTAACTTAACTTATATTGCAATTTACAACATATATAATATAACAGATGTTATCATAATTATACGTTTGCACAACTCTCCTTTAAAATGGAATGCACAGGCTCGAATAAATTACTGCTGGTACTATTGGTTAATGAATAATACTAAAGACAACATTAATTGTTAACCAATGGCTTATTGTAGGTAAGGGTAGCCTAAAGGTATACTCGTATTTCAATAAAATAAGTAAGAAAAAAATGAAACTTTTCAAATTTACTTACTAATTAAACATGGGTATCAATTAATGCTATTATATTTATTTTAATATAACACATTA